GTTGTGGGAAGAGTGTTCCACCTTGATGTGGCATAATTGCGAAACGTGTATTCCCCCTTTTTTGTGCCAAATCTGGGTTTCACATGATTTGTGGAGCTCCCTCTGGTGTTATGATCATGGTATTCCTTGACCTTTGGGAAGAATTTTGACATGTACATGGGTACCATAGAGGTGTAGTGGATCTTGTAGACCAGGCATTGCAAGTAGCTGTACTCTGTCGTCTACTCTAAGCCATCCTAGGTTGTCAAAGTGGGCAGAGGTGAGGTGGGTTCTAGATGAAAGGTCAAGCAGTAGTCTGACCAGTTTATTTTGCGATGTTTGAAGTTTTATTTTTAGCGCCTTGGAGTTGCTATGGTACCATGACGTGCAAGCATAGTCATAGTACCCTTGAATGAGTGCTCCTGCCAGAGTTTTCAGGGTGTTTTTGTTTACCAGAGAGGAGATCCGGTATAGGAATCTAGTTCTTTGATTGACTTTTTTTATTACATTGGATGCCATTTTGTCACAGGAGAGGTTTGCATAAGCTAGCTATGTAGGAGAGCACGCTAATTGCTAACAACCAAGCGTTTTGAGCTCCATTATTTTATGGCGCAAGAACATATAGCCCAAGTCAAGCTCCAATAATACGCTTTTCCTATATGTGGAGTTTTTAAAATACATTTATAGTAATGATAAAACATGATAGCCAAAGTTAGTTGAAATGCCTCAGGCAAACAAATAATCAGTCTGACGATATTAGTTGGTAGCTAGCTACCAGGTAACCTTATCCTAGCTTGTGGGCAGTGTGCAAAATACGGGGGGGGGGGGGGGGGGGGGGGGTCCGGGTTAACACCTGAGCCCCCCTGAAAGCCTCAACAGCAACATTTGAGGGAGGTCTCAAATTATGATATTTATTTGTCACTTGCAATGGTCACTTACATGTTTTTAAGCTTACTATGTCCAGTAGCCTATTCATAATTCAAAACATTTATTCACAAGTATCTTCTATTTTGGCTGGAAAAAGCATTTCCTCGCATAGAATCGAAAACAGACGGCTCTTTAACGGTCGCGTATTCATTCATTCATTCATTCATATGAACGTCAGAATATATAATTATTTGACGGCACCCCTGAAGACGCCAGACGGCGCCCCGGTTGAGAAACGCTGCTATAGACTACTGATTGTCTTGGCTTGCATCCATGAAATATTGTATAGGCCTACTGCATATTGAGAAATCTATCTTCGACCGGTATATTGCGCAATAAACGGGAGATGGGGACCCCCCCCCCCCCCGTCCCCCCCGATTATTGACGGGTATTTCGCACACTGCTTGTGGGTATAAACAGGGCCGTCCCTGGCCAACTTGGGGCCCCAAGCGACATTGCGAGATGAGCCCCCAGCCGACAGGAGTGAAAACTATTTTTTTGGAAACAAAGTACTTTGCAAATGTAATTCCTGTTTATTATTATTATTATCAACACAGTTACTTTTTTATACAGTGAGGTAAATGGTAAATGTGCATGTATGTCGTTCAGTATGCGTTTACAGGCATTTCCTGCCAAATACTAGCCTCAAAAAGATTAAAATATAATTAATGCAAATAAACTACTTCTACTAATAATAATGTGAGGCCCCATGCAGCCTGCATGATCGGCCTGTAGGGAGGGACGGCCCTGGGTATAAAGCAGGGGTGGGGAACCTTTTTCCTCTCAAGGGCCATTTCAACATCCCCCGAGGACCGTACCAATTATTGACCTCTGCTTAAAAATACTAAAATCACAGCCCATTAATTTTGCCTTTCTTTCATGCTCTGCAAAGACAAAGCAGCCTCTTAATCCAGATATTTTACCATGACTCACGCATGCATGCACGTGCACGGTTGTGGCGTGACCACCAAAACAGAAATATATGGATTATGGACACAAGATGTGTACACTTTGAGAGCAACATTAGGAGATCTATACATCTCTCAACACCCATATGAAACAGAACTGTAAGCAGATTTATTTTTCTTTATGGATATTTTACAAATCACTCCCCTTTCAAACTGTATTCTTGTTTATTAATAACAACTTTTTTTGTACTATTATATGTTGTATGTACTGTAATGATCATATAAAGATGTGCCTTTACCTCACAGGTTGTAAAAGCTTCTTATATTTGTTAGCATAGCTAACTAACCAGATGCTAATAACAACAAAGGTATTGACTGTATGATCAGTATGACAGATGAACAGATCGCCACTGGGCTTTCAACTAAAGACACAGCCACGCAAAAACTGCGGCCTGTGTACGGCTCCTTATGGGTACTGCAATTTCTGAAGTGCCGGAGCGCCGTTCTGGTGCTCTCCATCAGCACTACACCCATGTCAGATGAGACATATACCACGTGATGACACGTTAGGCTCGTGTTTTGTTCAAGGACCTTGACCTTGGCCAGGAAAAACAGGCACTCGCTTGTTTAATTATTTTGCGGTCTAGATTTATTGAATTTTTTTCTTTTTTGCGTGTGTTTATACATGACATTGAGGGCCGTACCAAATGGTCTCGCGGACCGCGAGACCATTTGGTATATACGGCCCGGAGGCCGGAGGTTCCCCACCCCTGGTATAAAGGAAGCCCTCAAAATAAATGTTTGAGGGGTTCAGGTTAGGTTGTGTAATTGAGATATTCTATATTATAATAATACAGCATCTAGAAAACAACAGAGACGCATGACCTCTGTTCTCTAAAAAGGTGAGACTGATAATGGCAGCACATAGACATCAATACTGGACTGATCCTTTTATTATCATTTATTCATTTAAGTGTCTAAGTGACAGGTAATACAAAAAATGTGCCTTCCAAAGACTAGTTGACACATTAAACAATAAACCTGGCCAAGGGTGACATCAATCTGGTGCACTGAAACCCTTTGCCTATGTGGTCTGTATGATGTGCCCATAACCTTGAATATACGCATGCATCTCCTTGAGGGTCATTTTTATGTGGGATTTGAAACAATCCCATATGATTACATTGTTTGTTCTTCCACCAGACCTTTCAGCTCAAGCAAACCTAGAGTGCTGAGGAGGCTATGGCATTTATTTTGTTGAATTTACCTCCAGCTTAAAATACCCATTAGCATCATGCACGAGAAAATACAAACCTGCCACTCAAATGACTGCACAGTGAAGCGTTAAACCACAAACAAACACAGAATTGTACAGAGGCACAGAAACACTCTAAGTAAGGGTTACATTGTTGGCAACATGTCCTCAGTGAACACTCAGATTGGTAGAAGTATATCCAATTATGAATGTTTACATATTCCCACAGTATTGATCTACATGTCATGCCTTTTGGCTAGAAATGATGGAATGGCTCTGGGGTTTATCTGTGAATAGATGCATCTTTGAATTTAGAATGTATGCATTCCTTTTCTGTTCACATGCTGGCTTTGTTGAAGGTGTTGCTGCATGTTACATTGCATTATCATTCGGCAGAAAGATGTTGTTGGAGTGGCGAGAAGGAGATAGAGTTTGATGTCAGTGCATCTTCTCTCTGATATTGTCTACAGAGAGCAAATACATCATAATACTGTACTCAAATGATTTCTGTTGAAATGACAAAAGAGATGAGTCATGCACTATTTTTATACTGATTGTTTGTTGTGTGTAATTAGTTTGTCAAGTTACAACAAAATATCATTTAAAATCAGTACATTGAAACTGAAATGATCAGGATAACAAGTGAAAGTCTCAAGAGGAGTGAAACATATATTTTGTTTCGCAGTGGTCTTTTTGTGTTAGACAGCAAGTCATTTCAAAGATTAATTAAAATAATGTTAAGTTATTGATTTTGCTGAAATAAATAAGAATATTGAGATTACAGAAATGTCTTAAGGACATCAAAACATAAACCAGTCGTAGTTTTCTGCCTTTAAAACATATTGTCTGTTCATGGTGTTGTTTACTCATCTGCTACTGAATTGCGACATCAAAGAGCCATGCATGACCTCGCCTTGTGATGGGAAGAGGGGAAGTGGAGGGGGGGAGAGGACATGCAGTTTTTAATGAAGCATTCATGTTGTTGATGTCTTTCCCTCTGTCTGCTTCTGACACTACCTGCGGAAACTTGGCGAGTGTAGATGTTAAATATATGGCACCTTGTTTCCTTGCCACCTTACCTTAACCTTTAATAGTCAAAAAGTAACTAATCTGTGCAAACAATAATGCTAAAGAAAGCCAAGCACTCAGATACTGTATATTCAATTAAAAATCTAATTCTGTTCTACTCGCTTTCATCTCTCTTAATGCTCTTCTTATTCTCCATCTGTTTCCAGGTGGGAGGTGCCACGGAGAAGGCACGGTAAGGGAGAGCAAAGACCTGCGGAAATAGACAATTTGAAGGCATTGCTCAGCTTTGGCTCCTTCATCCTTTGTACCCCACTTATGCAAGAGGCAGCAACAGCTATTGTGAAAGAGAAGCGTTGAGCCGAGAAGAAAACTGGAGAAAGAGCTAGAGCAGCAGGAAGAGGAGGACATTTGACAGATAAAAAGAGGGAGCTCTGCAGCAGGATCCCCACCGCGGTCTGCGTGACTGGTCTGTGCAAGCAGGGGGAGAGAGAGAGGAGAGAAGGTAGGAGAGAAGGTAGGAGAGAAGGAAGGGGGAGGGGAGGCGATTCAGCGCAGTGCAAGCTGTATGGATGAGTAGCAGCCGCGGCACAGGCAGCAGCATCAGCACCACTAGCTGTAGCATCTTTCTTTGTGGCTGCTGGAGGCTGTCTTGTGGCTGCCGTAGCGTCATCCCCACACACACCGCTACCGGGACGCAGACGCCTTCACTGCCTGCCTTATTCGCACACATGTCGTGGTGGCCACCCGAGAGGAGGTAGTGAGTGACAGGGCTCTGGGGACAGAGGGACACAGGAAGAGGAAACCGGCACGACTGGAGGTGGTGCAAACGAGAGGAGGGCTGGAGCGACGCCGACTAGAGCAGCAGTAGCAGCAGAGGCAGCAGCAGCAGTAGCAGCGGCACCATGGCGCAAGCCGCCAAGCAGCTCCGTAAGACCAAGGACCTCGCAGAGGCCGCCGCCCAGGAGCAGCGGGAGAAGGAGGAGGAAAAGATCAAAAAGAGGAACCGCTCCAGGGACCGCAGGCGCAAGGTATGACTGGCTGTATCTGACACAGGGGAGATGACGGTGTACCCTACATCCATATATCCCCCTCTACCTGCCTTTCTCTTATCTCTCCAGGGATCATTTGTGCATCATTAGTGAGGATGCAATTACACATGTTTAACTACTCAGTAGGTCCTGCGGCCTCATCTGGTGTGTGTGTGTGTGTGTGTGAGTGTGTGTGAGTGTGTGGTGTGTGTGTGTGTGTGTGTGTGTGTGTGTGTGTGTGTGTGTGTGTGTGTGTGTGTGTGTGTGTGTGTGTGTGTGTGTGTGTGTGTGTGTGTGTGTGTGTGTGTGTGTGTGTGTTGTGTGTGTGTGTGTGTGTGTGTGTGTGTGTGTGTGTGTGTGTGTGTGTGTGTGTGTGTGTGTGTGTGTGTGTGTGTGTGTGTGTGTGTGTGTGTGTGTGTGTGTGTGTGTGTGTGTAGGCTAACCAGTCAAGCACTTATGCTCTGGTACAGGTTGTGCTTGTCGGTCAGATATGAAGCTATAGGGAAGGAAAAGGAGGCTGATTGTGTGCCGTTAGAGATGGGACCAATATTGGCTGTAGGTTAGATAACAGGTGATGTCAGTTTCCCTTCAGATGCTTTTTGGGGGGAATCTCAGCCTTACATGGGTGCAGCTCATTCATATTAATGCAATGCAAGTTCAGTATGCTGCGCTTACATGCGTTTGAATGCATATAATCCTGTCACGATTGACATGCTCTGCACGCTCAACACACAAAGCTGTATTAGATGTGGTGTCTTTCCCCGTTTTACAGATTTCTTTCATTGGGGAAAATGTAAAATGGAGGGGGAAGATGGAGGTACACCCCTCATAATAGATGCAACACATTTGTATCTATTTTGGGGGGCGTGTTTGTGCTACATGTTGTGTTTCATTCTATGATGTTTTGCGAGCTATACATATTTGTTGGGAAGAGGATTAATATTTAAATGTGTTGTCACAAACCAGGCACGCAGAGTACATCCTGTAGGCAAGAGGTCTCTCATTCAGCCTTCTATCTTACTTCTCTCCCCTGCACTCTCCCGCTCTGGCGCTGCCTTTAGGTGTGGATTTTATTGGGGTTCTGCTGCCCCGAATTCATGCTTGGCGGCACTATGATGATTCATAGTCTATCACGAAAGGCACTTGTTGACTGGATTAAAAAATTACTTTTATGAATTGTATCCCTGAGTGGAGTTTACAGCAGTATGCCATTTACAGGCTGTGTTCAATGAAATGTCAGCTCTCAATTACATTCTGTTCCTCCTGCAGTATTTCTGTGTGCTCATATCGACGTGGAGTTGGTGGCAACAGATAATAGACAGGTATTTTTATATTCACTCTGTGATGCGTGAGGTGTGTGTATGTGTGTGTTTAAAGCATTAAGAATGAGAAACAAAAGAGACAATGACCAGACAGGCTCTGCATTGTGGTAATGGGCGGGGGCACACCATGATATGGTTAACCATGCAAGATTTCAATTAAGGCAGTTAGGCAATATTTGTGGGAATGTTGTTAATTTTGAAATTCCCTTATAACAAGGGTATTGTGTACCAAAAACATACTATCAATTAATGAGCGATAGACGCTACAAAACCCAAACTGTGGTTGGGCGGTATGAAAATGTATATTGCCTGAGCATATATATTTGCAAAGTGACAGAAATGAGCAGTTTCCTTTTTATTAAATGTTGTTTGTATTTATCTATTGTGGGCAATTAGAAAGGCTACCTAATGCCAGATTCTAGCATCAATGTCACTAATGACGCGTTTCCACTACACGGCCTCGCTCGCCAGTTAATGGACCAGCACCAGAGGCGTTCCCATACACACAGGCGTTGGAGCTGTTCTTCATGAAATCCCAGAAGGATGAAGTGCTCTGACAAACAGTGCCATCTTTGCGCAAAATGATTATACAGGAATGAAAAGTCAATAAATAAACATGTTGTTAAAACTTTTTTTTTTTTTTTCCGCCCCCCCCCCTCCGCCCGCCCGCTGCACCACCCGCCGAAGTATATTTCAGATCTGTGGGAAACACTGGGACTGGCTCACTTCGTTAGGACTGGCTCGCTCGTTTGGACTGGCACACTTTATGGCGCGTCTCCATTACAGTTTAGGAACTGGGGTAGTAGCCTACTATAGTAACGCAGTGTAGGCGGAGCGATCGGCTCGTGTTGTTGTTGTCCTTCACTACGCGATACTCACTCTTCATCTTTTTCAGTTTTTCCCTACACTGCAAGACAGTCCTCGAGTAACCGCTTCCGCACATTCTTTCACACACACATACGGGTTTTGGGCCGAGGGCAACACCGTACTTCCGGTATCCACCATTTCACGTGAGGTGCAAGCAGAATATCATAGTCTATTGCCTTAATCAATATCTGGTCAACTCTAAAATACCACATATATGCATTGGCATGATAATATTATTGTGACAAGTGGGGTATTCACCTGGTGTTTCAAGAAGATAGACGTAGATGCTGCCAAAATCGACCGAAGGCCACTTTCGAGAGTCGTTTTTCCATACATCTGCAGGCAGTCTGTAAGGGCAATCGGACAACCCACACAGCTCTAGTTTACGCTGGTAACGACCTAGAGCACACCCGTCAAGTCCAGAGATGTCATCCGAAGACATGCAGCGATTTCTTCGGTCGTTCATTCAGAAAAAAAACCTAGTACGCTCTGCCTGGCAACATTACCTAGCTGTTTATATTAGCACCTCCAGGATATTAGCACCTCCAGGAAAATGGCGTATTTATATATATATATATGGCGCGCGTTGCATTGTGTGTAGCTCGTGACGTCACTGTGTGTGAAAGAATCAGTGTAGAGGCCTCCTGAAATACTTTCATATTGCGAGTTGTCCCGCAACGACGATTCTCTCTGACCAATCAGCAGTCGAGAGTAGGGATGGGAACGATTAATCGAATATTCGAATATTCAAAATTATTCAGGTATTCGAATCATTATTCATGTATTCGAATACATTTTTTTTTTTTTGGGAGTGATGCCAAAGTTGATTACATATTATCGAATTGAATAATTCAATGTATATACGACAGTGCCATAGCTAAATGTGTTAGTTGACGTCTAAAGGTGTGTTTTGCTCCGCTCACCGGTCCCTCACAGCGGGCAGAGCTGCAGGTGCTGATCTCTCTCTCTCTTGCGTCCGGTTATACTTCACTCGTGTTTATGTCCAAATCCATCAGATCTAGCTAGTTCTAGCCAATGATATGGCTGCTGCCCCTCCCTACACGCAGATCACGCAGACTCAAACCTAATCTTAGGCCCAAATGTGGCGCAAATGCGCTCCGCAGCCGTTGCGAGGTTCCAGCGCTAACAGTTCATGAGCGTGCTCCCCCGCCCCCTGTCAACACTCGCGACACATGAGTGGCCAGCCTAAACAACAATAAGCGCTACTTGGCAACCGTGTGTGGCGGCAAAGTACAGAGACATTTTGACTGGAGAGATTTAGTTTTGCTGGTATTCAACATATTTTACCAGTCATAGTCCGGTAATTATTTACACTCTAAGAAGAGTCCTACACAACAGACATGGCGTCAAAAAGGAGTAATGTGTGGAAATATTTCGACCAGGTTAGTGAGTGCGGTGTAGAGGTCAAACTATGCCAAAGGAAACTTATATTTACATGCTATACCTTGCTATACCCGCAACCTCCGTTCCAGCTGAGAGGGTCTTCTCTACAGCTGGGCTGATTGTGAATCGCCTCTGCACATGAAAGCTGTATGCCTATAGCTGTCAAACTGTGATCACCAGTTCATACATTTGACAAATTCGACTTGGTTTCTACACTTAATTGAACATGTATGTATTTATTTCCAAAAATTATTGAAAACAAATTGGGTAAAAAAAAAATTAAAAAGAAAATAATTCTGAAAAACATTTTGAATTTTTTTTAAAATATAAAAATACCTGTCTATTATCTGTTGCCACCAACTCCACTTCGATATGTGCACACAGAAATACTGCAGGAGGAACAGAATGTAATTGAGAGCTGACATTTCATTGAACACAGCCTATAAATGGCATATTGCTGTAAACTCCACTCAGGGATACAATTCATACCCAATTTTTTTTTTATAGGATATGTACATTTCGGTTAACCGGTTAAACGTTTTTTGGGGGGGTCGAATATTCGAATATACATTTGCTTTCAAATTCCCATCCCTAGTCGAGAGTGACGTCACAGCCTGGTTGTTCCTGGCCCTAGAACCCCGATTTTATGGGGCCAGAAAAACTGTGAATTAGGACCCGCTAGCCGGTACTAGGCCAAGTGGAAACGCAACCAAACGCGGGCCGCTGACGTCACAGCCCTCTTAAACGGGGCTCCGCGCTGTAGTGGAAACGCGCCATAAGTAAGAGAGCAGCCGGAAACAGGCATTTTGATTCTGATTACTTTCATTCTGAAACCCATCCTCTTTCAAATCCACTGAGACCTGCTTTTAATAAAATTATTGAATACACTAACAGGGTAGAAAAATAATGTAACTTCAACTGATGGTATGATACAGCTTTGTGGATGTTTTAGTCTTTCTTACTGGCCAAATCAAAAGTTAAGTTGCTAAGTGCTCTTCAGTCGATACAGATACAGTTTTGAAGGCCAGTTTTAGTGCTTACCTAATTTCACCGCACTTAGCTAGCCATCCACTTAAGGTTCGCTACCTTAGTTATTTTCACTTTTAAAAATCAATCAAGTATGTTTAAGATTTCATTAATGGCCATTTGGTTCAACTGGCTTCTTTGTAAAGAGCTGCTTTAGCTTCACTGATACAATGACTCAAAAACAAAGGTCATGATAGAGGCAAAAGACATGTGCTCCTACTTTGCTCCTAAAGTTATAATTAGATTTCCAATTATATATCAGAAAGAACTCTCTTTTATTAGTATCAGTGTTATACTCAATGAGAAATGGAAGAAAATCTTTGAGGAGCGATGTCGTATCGTTTAGTTGTCGACAGGATATCACAGCTTACAGCACATTTG